AGAGGAGAGAGAACGAATGAGAGAGAGAGAGAGAGAGAGAAAAGACGAGAGAGGAGGAGAGAACCAGAGGGAGAGAGAGAGAGGGAGCACGAGAGAGGAAGAGAGAGACGAGAGATGAGAGGGCATGGAGAGAGAGAGGAGAGAGAGAGAGACAGGAGAGAGAGACGAGGAGAGAGAGGAGAGAGAGAGGAGAGAGAGAGAGAGAAGAGAGAGAGAGACAGAGAAGAGAGCAGAGAGAGAGACAGAGAGATGAGAGAGAGAGAGAGAGAGAGAGAGAGAGAGAGAGAGAGAGAGAGAGAGAGAGAGAAAGATGAGGGAGAGAGAGATAGAGAGAATGAGACAGAGAAAAGAGGGAGAGCACCAGAGAGTGATAGGAAGGATAAGCTTAGCATAGACGTTCAGATGAAAGCAGTAGAGGAATATTCTCATATCAAACAAAAGAATAGCTACCAACGAAAAGGACGTGTGAATAAAATGTTAATATACCAGTTAACACCACGTTTGCAAATGTACAGCCATTTACATATGTTAACTGACAGACGTATATGGTTAACAATTGTGACCAATATCGGATAAACAAGAGGAATTGTAGCACAGATAATACATGACAAAACTTTCGCTTCGTCTCCCATATACGTTAATATAACAATGAGTTTAGTAGCAGTGGGTTAGTTAGGCTGAGAGAGAGGGTCTATGTCCCCCGGGGTACTGCCGGAACGTACCTGCGTGTTACGGTCCGATACCGGAACGTACCCTGGTACTATCTAATATGCCGGACCGTATCCTCGCCTACTCCACTAACGAGTCATAAGTCGCCTCGTCCTACTCCTAGCCCGAACCCGAACCCTAACCCTAATCCAACCCTAACTTAACCCCTAATCCTAACCCTAACCCATATCAAAATGACCAGGTTACGTATTCCGGCAGCAGTACCTGGGACATAGACCCTATGAGCGTTAGTTAGGAGAATCAACACATGCCGAATCACGCGTAACACACATAATTTCACATAATCACACACACACACACATTTCCTTTCTATACTCGTATTTAAGCCACAAATGTTAATCGCCATGCGAAACAGTCTTTAAAATCAGCTTAGCTAAGATATATATATATATATATATATATATATACTGGCTTCCAAGAATCTATAACGTAGACTCGTATCGCTATCGGGTGTACGGGGGAAGACAAGGGGGCAATTGCCACCCAAACCAATGTAGTTATTATTATATTGTCATATGAATTGCGAACAGTATGTTGGCCTACGGTCAACTGCCAACAACTCAAACCGCACGTGACATTGCATCGACCCAAGGAAAAAATGAGCTAGCTACGTCCCCGATATATAAAATAACCAAGTCTATAGGTGTTAGTGCCGATAGCATGGCAGTCAACGAATGAATAGTCTAGAATAGTAGTGATTCACAGTATCTATCAGCGACGAATGCTATAGTAATTATTACTAACTCTACGAAACGCCGCCAATAACGACAATTGACGAGGAAGATCACGCGTGAAATCAATCGTGGTACAACATTTCCACGGCAACAATATAACTATAGAATTGCATTCAAATTAAGCAACCACCAGCCGCCTATCAGCCGATTTGTTATTATAGATAGCATTAAGTTTACATTTATTTCCCCATAAATGCCAGCAAACAGCATGCTGGTTAGGCTGAGGAAAGATATAGGCAGTTCTAGCAATGCAACCATTTCAATCACCAGCAATAGTCATAGCGAAATGTGCCGGTATCAGAGGCGGATCAAGGGCTGAGGCTAGACAGTATTTGTTCAGATTTTAAGGCATCCCCGCAAAAAAGCACACCACCCACAGTGAGCGCGTCAAGACGCGAAGCACATGGCGCGGTCTGCGGCCTCCGCCAGGAAACTTTCAAAAATTCAAAGGGTCCCTGGGCACAAAATGTAGCACCATTTGAGCACACATTTAGTCAAGGCAGCAATATGCTAAAAACCATATGGAATTTATATATTTCTTGCCTTCATTTTGCACCTGCCTTTGGCATACCATGCAATTAATGGCCAGACTGATCAGACACTGTTCCCTTCTTTTCAGCACCCTATCAAAAGTAGTCTTCGTTACCATGGTGTAACAATTTCTGCATTCCTTCAAAGTCCTGTCAAGATGCAGGCAATGAACAAGAAAAAAAACAAATAAAGAATAGTAAGCATAATTCAGATCAAATTGTTTTCTGTTTTGTATTTTCTGTAAATTTCGAAGGGCACGTGTTGAAATCTGACCAGTATTTCCTCTGATACCGGCAAATACGTCTGGAATCCGCATACCCGGGCGGTATAGCGTGCACTAGATCGTCACATCGACACACTGGCCAACTACACTTCATGGCATCGCCATACAGTCAGTTATCCGACCGCTAAATACGAGAGAGAGGAGAGGAGAGAGAGAGGAGATGAGAGACGGAGCAGAGAGACGAGGATAGGAGAGAGAGATAGAGGAGAAAAGAGCAGAAGAGAGAGACGAGAGATGGGTAGAGAGAGAGAGAGAGAGAGAGGAGAGAGATGAGAGATGAGAGAGTACCCGTCCTGCATAAGAGTGGGAGAGAGTGTCGCACAAGGAAAAAGGGAAACAGAACAAGCATACCAGCGAGACAAATATATGGATGGCACGCAGGCACGCGCGCCGCACGCTAGGCACGCGCGCACGCCAGGCACAAACCTTCACAAACACACAAGCGCTCGTCGCGACATGAGGCCCGATAAAAAGAGAGAAATATCGGTATGAGCAGGGGGAAAGATAGAAGAGTGGGAGGCAGAGAGGAGAGAGAGAGAGAGGAGACAGAGAGGAGAGCAGAGAGAGGGAGAGAGAGAGAAGAGATAGCAGAGAGGAGAGAGAAAGCAGAAAGAGACTGAGAAGAGAAAGAGAAAGAGAAATAGAAGAGAAGAAGATAGAGAGAGAGAGCAGAGATACAGAAAGAGAGACGAGAGAGAAGAGATCTGAGAGGAAAGAGAGAGAGAGAGACGAGAGAGAGAAGAGAGAGGAGAAAGATCGAGCAGAAATAGATTAGAGAAATAAAGATAGGAGAGATAGCCAGGCGAATAAAAAAAGAAAGAGAGATAGAAGAGAAAGAAAGAAGGAAAGAGAAATCGCTCTGTCGTCCACCATGTCGCTCGTCCGTGCGTTATTTCTCAAGTTGATTCGGATTTGAGTAATGACACTGCATTCGCTCTCTCGTCATATCAATGATAGCGAGTAGTTATCAATCTATCAACTCATGGTGGCCACGACCTCTTACCTTGAACAGACGTTTGATAAGATATGATGTTGATGAGAGAGATGATAGAGGTGTATGAGGATAGATGTTGAAGAGATATAATGATAATATTATCTTCTTCTAACCTTTCATATCGGCATCGGCCGCGGTTGAAAGGTTCTGCCTTTTCTAAAAGATCGATGTTATGATGTCTAGTACTCGCTTGTTATGATGTTATGCCGTACTCGCTTGGCGTTCTGTAGCCACCTGGGTTTAGCCTCTCCTACTAATCAGTTTTCATTTTCCTCCCAGATACGTTCGGGTCGGAGAGGCGATCACATGTTGACATCAGCAACATTGATTATGCTCATCAGTTTCTCATTAGCACATTCAAGAAAGCAACGTTTTGCGACTATTGTAAAGATGTCATGAGAGGTAAGATGAGATAGCGACAAGAGTGTATAATATAGAGATCTCTATAATAGATCTCTTTATTAGGTCTCTATATTAGATAGAGATCTAGCTCTATGTTATTTTCTATATTAAATCTCTATATTAGATCTCTATATTAGGTGGAGATCTTTATATTAGATCTCTATATTAAATATCTATATTAGATAGAGATCTCTATATTAGATCTCTATATTAGATAAAGATCTCTATATTAGATCTCTATATACGATCTCTATATAGAGATCTCGATAGTATACACTCCTGATAGCGATCGATGGGTGGCTGTGATAAATAAATGATAGCCGGGGTTGTGAACCGGTTGAGTCGTACTAATATAACCATGTATCCAGCGTGATGATGGCTACTATATTTTATCTGCTTTTTTATGCGAGTTGTAAATTTGTACAAAACCCTGCCAACGTTGAGTATGTCGGCGTACACGCGTAATTTTCAGAACTGGCCGTGACATGAATATATTCCTCCTGCGATGACAATTTATTGTGCGTACGGACCTTAGTAGAATTGTTACGTAGCCATTAAGTTTTAATATGTTTATATGTTGTGTTTTGCGTATGAATTATCTATAGACGTGCGTTCGATATCCGTACGGTAGTGATTTAATGTTCAGTTAAAAGATACGCACAGTATCAGGGGTGAATGATGACCAAAAAAATTGTCAAGTTGGTCAAATTTTTGTTAATTTGGTCAGATTTGTCAAGTTTTTATGCAGCGTATTATTTATGCACTACTGTCACACATACAGGTATGGCAAAGCAAGGATTGAGATGTAAGATCTGCAAGATGTCTGTGCATGTCAAGTGTCAAGATTCTGTGCCCCGGTGCCCAGGCCAGGTATTAAGTATTCTTGCATATTGATGTATATATGGTAAAGAGGTAAGCTTTATATAATTATATATTTTTTATATATTTTAATTTATATCTTTATACAATATAGAAAATACATATATTTAGTGACAAGGCTAAATAATAACATCTTTTGGTTAGTGCACTTTGATGTGTTTTACCCCTTCATTGCTGTTTTTGTTGTTGTTTACTGCAATAATTTTGTATGCTTGAATTTTTTCTTTGAGTTTTATATACTTGTCTACAGTTGGCTTGGTTTTCCATATTGTGTGTAAATGGATACACAACTAAACTATAATAACTAAGTCTTATATATCCGCTAATTGTTTTGAAGTGACACTTTATACTTACTTAATGCCTATTTAAAAATATTGATTTGAAATCACACATGCCAAGAAAATTATCTTAAACAAAAGAGTCTCAAACATATATAATATTTCCTATT